CCCAACGCCCCTACAACCCCCAAATTGATCCTGATGTTGTGTTTTGGAAGGAATCACTGCTGGTCAGAAGGAAACGCAGTGAGGATGTGACCATATTCTGGTACAAGTTCCAACTGCCAAAGTGTTGACTGAGCCTGGATCCCTGCTCTGTCATACAAGCTTTGGGAACATTCACAGTCAGGTGTAGATTTGCAGGTTACTGCATTGCTGGTGGGCTCTCAGGGCAGCAAGGTAACAAGAGAGAGCCAGGTGCCCCAATCCTTCACATTTGGCCTCTTCCTCTGATCTCCCAAGTCTTATCAGAGCTGGTTCTTGGCAGCTGAGGAAGAAGCCCTGTCATCAGTGAAAATTTCATGCTGTGCTTCCCAATGGATGCGCCAGGGGTCACCAGGCTCTGGTGGCCGAGGACCATGCTGACCTCACACCACCAGCCCAATGTCTGGTGCCTCCCGTCAGTGGGTACGTCCCTGTTCCCCGAGACCTTCCCACACAGGGAGGTCTTGACAAGTGTTTGCTGGAGGAAGGACCACCGAGTGCGTGCTCACTAAGGACCATGGAGGGACCCCTTCTGTGCCAAGCAGGGCTGCTAAGAGGCAAGGAGGGCTCAGCGGCACCCAACGCCCCCACGGCCCAAGGGAAAGCTCCAGGGCGCAAAAGGGTGTGTGGGCAAGGCACCATGACAAAGTGGGATGTCCTGAGCAGGGCTGCCTTCACATGCACTGTTATGGTTCAAACCTCCCCACTCGGAGCCCATTATGGTTCTCGGAGTCTCCCAAGCTGACCTTCCCATCATCCCCTTTGTCGCAGAGCACGTGCTCCATGGAAGCCACCCTGAGAGCCACTTCTGTTGGCCTCTCACTCCCCACAGCACACACCCAGGCTCAGCCAGCCTGACTGAGGAACCCGCCACTGCCCTTGTGGGGAACCTGTACCCGAAGCTGCCCTTCAAGGCCCTGCCTGCCTCTCCAAGCTCATCTGGGCTCCAGGGGCACTCCCAGTCCCCTCCTCCATGCAGCCTTCTCTGTTTGCCCTTGGCACTGCCATGCCATCTGCCAGGGCCTGTTCCTGCCTCCCCATAGCCTAGGAGTGCGGGGAGGGGGCACGGGGGGCGGCATTTCTGGGCCCTGCCTGCCCTCCTACAGCACTGGGCGATCTCCGCTGGCTGAAGGCGAGGCTGCCCAGGGCTGCAGAGGGAGGGGCAAGAGCGCCATTCACCCACCTCTTCGACTCTGGCTTTCCCTGACGAGGAAGGCTCCCCCGGGGTTCCCCGGCAGCAGCAGCAGCTCCTCGGCTTTCTCCCGACTCAAGCCCTCGTACAGCCACCTGGGAGAAGCAGGATAGTGGGGTGGGGTCAGCCTGAGTGACCGACCTCGCACTTCTAGTCACAGCGATAACGGCTGTCTTGGGGTCTCTGGGGGCCCCTACAGCAATGCTGTCCTGGGACCTGGAGTCAGGCCTAGCTCTCTCTGTCTGGATTTTCATTCCCAAATGTCCAGGGAAGCTGGGTGAGCCCAGGCTCCCGCCTTTCCTGGGCCACACTCCCCAGCTGCCCCCTTCTGTCTACACCCTTGAGAATTGCCCCTCCCGCTTCTGGCCACCTCCTACCTGTTCCTTTCCTGTTCTCCACCCTCCAGAGCCCACACCACAGGACACTGCCACAAGCTGCCACCTCTGATCCCTACGCAGCTGGGCAGAAAGGAGGACGCTGTGAGAGGGGCAGGCAGGGCCTGGCGCAGGAACTCACCCATGGGAGACTTTGGCCGCGTGGGTGCTGGGGATGGTGTACTCTCTGCCCGAGACTTCCGACAGCACTGTCCACCAGTCTCCATTCCTGGAGAGCGAACGAAGGTGTGTGGTGGGGGGACCCTCTCAGAAGGACCCTCTCGGAGCTCCCTGGCACCAGCCAGCCCAGGCCCCTCCTGGCCTGGCTCAGGTTCCCCACAAGGCCTTCTCCACCACCACTTCTCCCAGCAGGGCTCTCACACGGCTGAAACCCTACCACTAGGGCCACCTGTGAGCTGGTCAACAAAAGCCAGCCCCTTTCTCCCTCTGAGGGAGCGGCTCTTCTCTCAGCCCCCACCCTGTCTCCCACAAGCTCATCTCCAGGGATCCATCCAGAGGAAGGGAGGAGGGCACCCCACCCAGTGCCCCCTAAAGGACTTACTCAGAGACAATAGTCAATGGCTCCCCGAGCCTCAGCGACAGCTCTGCCTGCAAGCCCACCGGGAAAGCGCCCAGGGCCACAGCTGTAACCTTGCTCCTCTCTGGAGGGAAGACAGACAGTCAAGCTGCGGCCAGCCTCTTGCCAGCCTCGAGGTCTAGTGGATCTCCTAGGCCACAGGCACCAAAGGAGAAGGTGCTGCATGTGCTCTGAGAGCAACTCAAGACCCCGGAGCCTTCCCTGCGGGACTCTGCAGAGCCCTGGGGTGCCTGGATGGCTCCTGGACTCACCTCAGGAAGAGGGTGGGTGTGGCCAGAGGAGGGGAGCTCCTGGCCAAGATCCTCTCTACAGAAGACATTGACACAGTACTGTGCAGCTGACAGCTCTAAGCAACAAGTGCGGCAGCACCCTTGGCTGAGCCACACACATTGGCTGTCTGCTCTGGGCCAAGTGACACCCTTTCTCAGCTCTGCATCTGGAGGCCTGATGGAGTGGGCACTGGGAAGGGCAGCTGTGAAGGTTGGGAAGGGGAAGGTTTGTGGCTGGGACCTGAAGTTCAAGTCACATGGGTACCTTGAAGCACACGGGAGGAGCTTTGAACATTGAACCTAGGAGTGTAGGGAAAGGCAAGAAAGGAGCAGGGTGTGTGTGTGTGTG